TTGTATTCATAGCGCGTCATGCGCCATGGGCGCGCACGGGTGCACAATGAGTCAGTCTGCCGGGAAATATTTATTTTGCAAAGCATGTTAATTTATACAGCTATTTGTATGGCATTTCGTCAGGCAAATGTTATATTACGATGTATGTTCATACTAACTATCTAACATAACAAACATAACTAGATGTGCATGACATTTTGTCATCTATGAATTGTCAGTGTTATTTATATTCCCAAGTACTCGATCATGATTACAAAGGCTTTCAATTGATTAACGTTACCATTTTGACATTGCAACCAATTCTGAATACATGTCTATATAAATGGCATGTCGATGTGTCACATAAAATCTCGTCACGTTATTTAGTTAAGGGCCCGGCGCTTAACCCCAGATCAGTGTCTACCGCAAATCAGCTTACAGTAAAACCCATGCTGCGATTTTATTCTCATCCAGGTTCAATCTTGTATCTTATCGTCCAACTGAGTGGACTATGTCGCTCGGCGGGAATAAACACACTAAATCAGTATTTGACGTCATTAGCGGTAAAAACAAATGTTCGTAACTGTGATGTTGAAAGCAATTAGAGCATATCAGGGTATCCAGCCCGTCCTATGATAACATTTACCAATTAACCAGTTATTTCAAGTTGCCGTGAAAAGGGGGCATGAACTTTGTATGATGTTAATCACTATAATTTAAATCGCTTCACTATTGAAGTCGCCATTTTGCAATGATCCGCACAGCAGGCCCGTGTGACAATATGTTTGTTATGATCCAATTTCATTTTCACTTATCAATGATGATCACGTGACCTTGATGCTTGATACAGCTAGTAAGTACATCGGATGAACTTATAGTACTAGAGATTATAAAGTGTACGAGTGATAAGCAGATTTGTTATTTACTATAGGTATTTAGTAATACTGCAATGATTATTTCACTGTTCGGGCACCAAGCAACATATGCGACAACGTGGGATAGACGAGACAACTAACTGTGACGACGGGTGACTAGTTGTCTGAAACCCCGACCTGACGCTATTTCTGGGGACCCTGTCGGACCCTTCTTGACGATTTCAATATCTATATTTCATTTTTATGTAATGTTACACTTGTAAAGGTAACAAAATATACAATTTTAGTTGTGAGAAAACAATGCATACAATCATTGTTGGCTCATGTTCGTGCTATCAACATTCCATGGTTGGTTAATTTTAACAGCCCTTTAACCAATGAAAGGTATTTCGAAAAAAGACAATTTTCTCACAAAATTTTAGTTTGATTTACGGTTACTAAATAATGTCAGTTGACGAGAGTGAACATTTATGTGGTATCGTAGAAATAATAACATTGTTCCAAAGTCTAATAAAGCACATGTGTAAATATTTGTAAATGGAAATAAACCATGTCTAATCGAATCGTGATGTCTTTTTCAATTCGCATGACCAGAGCTTACTGTATAATGGTGAAACAACTATTTTCCAATATAGTTATTCGCCCTCGTCTTATTGAAAAACCCACATGATACGCTGTGGCAATTTTATGAAATATTAACGTGATTGGAAATATGTTACTGTGTTGACTAGACGGGCATCAACATTGGGAACAACACCGCTGTGTTGAAGCGACAACATCAACACTGCGAACAACACCGCTGTGTTGAAGTGACGGGCATCAACACTGGGAACAACACCGCTGTGTTAAAGTGACGGACATCAACACTGGGAACAACATTAACATTCAGAACAAAAAATAACTTTCCTATTTAAATTCTCCTTCTCGTCTATTAAATAAACCCTGTCAATAGAATGATGTGCGTGCAAATAATGTATTGCCCATGTCCTCAGTCATATCAACCGATGCTGTCTTCACTAGCTATGATGGTACTATCCGTACAACCAGTATTTTGTTTTTGTCAATGAAATGTACCACATCACATGTTAAATAAGTTAAACATTTCGGATTAGTTTATAAGCCCAGTAATACCTTACAACGTCACCGTTCACATGTACAACTTAAAACAGTTATTATTACAGTTGATTTTCTGTATTCCTAGTAACAAGCTAACTCAATAATAGTCCCTTTCTAAGCGATTGGTGCGCAACATTTATTTTGTTTAATGTTATGGTTTTATATATTTGAATAATACAATCATTTGCATCATTATTTTGCACTTGTTGTCTCTCTTCAGCAACACTAATACAAATTGTTGTAAAATGATCTGTTCTGGCCTCTCACTACGCGAGTATGATGCTTTTTGGCGTCTGAGCATGTCTTCAAAATTACCGCTCCAGGGCCGACCTATGATTTGCCCCGGCGTTATGATTTCTACAGGATTTGCGCCGTTTTTGTTTGATTAAAGCAGGGGAGTCCTCACAAGCGTCTACCCATGAGCCTTTGCGTTTTTAGCGTGTGTTGTTATCGCTGCTTGGGACTCAATTCCCGCGCGTGTGCAGGTGACGACCCTCCCGCTTTAAAGTATTGTAAGTCGATCGATAGTTTTTATGAAAATAATGCTTGGATAAAATAGAATTTTGGACATTGTTTATTGTTGAACAATCTCGAAGCTACCCTTCTCTACCTAGTGGTTTTTGAATGATGGCGGTGACTGTAATGATTATCCTTCCTTCAGCTCCCAGAAACGTACCGAGCGTCCGTTTTTCCATACCCTCCCGCATCCCAACTACCTCAGAACGAAGTCATGGCGTTTAAGATTTTTTAGTAAATTTCGAAAAAAATGTCTCACTGCTGACAGAGAAAGCATATGCAAACACGCTTGTAAATTATTTTACAGCTGAAGTATCTTCCCGATCGCAGCGGTGTATTTATGATTAATACTCAATAAACATTCACATTCACATTTGAATTTCTAAAAGGTAATTACTTCTAACACTACATTAAAACTGAGCCGGGTTCAATGTTTGAAGTCACCCCGGAGTGGCTAAGATAAGACGGACGTGGATCATTCACTATTCACAGATATATTAACATTTCACGTGAATTAAAAAAAAATAGATTCATGATCATCGAACCATATGATATTAATTAATTTCCTATCGCACCGCACGTGGTAAAGACGTGACACTATTAGCCAGGCACTAAATTATTACACAGCATATTCGTTTCAGCAATACGTGTAATAAGACAGGAGGTCTTATAAAGTAGCGAGGTAAAACACATGTGTATCATCGATATTGTTATGCTATGTTGTTTCAGGTTCTCGCTCCTCATTAATGTCAGACTAACTTCATCGTATCGTGTTATGCACATGTTGTTTAAATTCAAAAGGTTTCATATCACCGTATAATACATAAACAAGAATATAATTTTAATTACTAAGTCTAAAAAAAAAAACACAAGAAAAAAGCATATTAATATCTGATAACAAAATAATTACATTTTTGGTTATTAAAAGTGCTGTCTTTTTTTATAGTAAATTATGTCGTAAAACGCGAGAATGGAAATATAAATCATCTTTCCTATGGCTGATACGCCTTACAATAAAACCTGTCAGTTACGAAGAGGAGATAAAAACACCAAGTTGATAAGAGTATATTTCCACACTTGTGTTGTTATTTACACTAAAGTAGATATAAAATGCTTCTGAGTAAAGAATTGTCATATCAAACACGTGACTATGTAATATGCAAATTTACCTGTTACGATCATTTAAACTGCGACTTTAATTTAGTAATGATTATCATGGTTATTATGACATAGGCTGAGGTTCAAAATCCGACAATTCGCGGATTCCCAAATATCTGAAATAAATTTTCATGAAAATTTCTTTATGTAATCACAGTAGCACAGACAGTACCGGAAAATAAAACTGAAAAATGTATACTAGTATTTAAATATTCAAGTCTTAATTCCAAGTTAATGAAATAGGTTAATTTTCGACTGAGTTGTGTTGTACGCTTGATATGAAAGATTTTGGTAGGCTCCCGGGATTTGTGTCATGCCAAACATGGCGATGTACCTTAGCAAACCTAACCACAATGAAGTTTTAAAAAACACGCTAGAATTAATTTGCGTTACACAATAGTGTTCCCGATAGAGTTAATCCGTGTACTGCTCCCGGTTGTTTCTGATGTGTATTTAACATCGCACTAGATACTGACCTTACATGCTAAGGTCGTCCTGGGGTACACTCAAGTCATTACGTTGTGATTAATTATGCAGTATAGCATTTACTATTTTACAGATTGAGTTATCAACGATTTATACGAGATTACAATATCTCATTAGCAAATATATAGTTTACATATAGGAATAAATTCACAAGTCCAATCCATTCCATAATATATACAGCATCAATATTAGTCATTTATGAACTGGATACATCTTTTGTGGCCCGAGGTCATACGACGGATCGCTCAAGCATGCGTGGGTGCGTTAGCTATGTACTTTACAGGACCGATTAAATAGTTACTAACTAATGATGTTACATGTATCTCGATTAATATTTATACGTGCACAGTGCGAGTTGATATGTCTGTGCTTCACGTCATGGCACCAATAAGACCAATATTGCAACTCTTTCAATGTAAAATCTCCAGTATGACTCCAATCAGAACGCATAGTCTCCATAATGTTTTTTGTATTTTTACCCGACAGCTAGTTGTAGCTATTGTGATCGAGGTTTTAAAAAAGCAATTCCCACAACATATTGTGTTACGAGATTTCTACCCAAAATATGGATATGCTACACACGCGTATTGAAGAAGTGTATTGTCAAATTATTAAAATAAACTCTGAGAGGCACTCAATAGTTTTCACCAATTGTTAGCCCATAAGTTGTTTGTAAGACAAGGCCACTTTTCATGAAAATTACTTTATACTTTATTTATGTCCATTGTGTCAATCTAAATTAAACTTGAGATTATATTATCAATGAATAGGTATTTGCCAAATCACACAATATTTGTAAAAATACATTGCAAATTATGAGCGTGAGAGTAATTTGTTCAAATTAAAAGTATGTGTTCACACAGTTATTTATCAATATACAGGTCTACCAGCGTATAGCATTGCTGTTTGTCTACCAGCGTATAGCATTGCTGTTTGTCTACCAGCGTATAGCATTGCTGTTTGTCTACCAGCGTATATCATTGCTGTTTGTTTACCAGAGTATAGCATTGCTGTTTGTCTACCAGTGTATAGCATTGCTGTTTGTCTACCAGCGTATATCATTGCTGTTTGTTTACCAGTGTATAGCATTGCTGTTTGTCTACCAGCGTATAGCATTGCTGTTTGTCTACCAGCGTATATCATTGCTGTTTGTTTACCAGTGTATTGCATTGCTGTTTGTCTACCAGCGTATAGCATTGCTGTTTGTCTACCAGCGTATATCATTGCTGTTTGTTTACCAGTGTATAGCATTGCTGTTTGTCTACCAGCGTATAGCATTGCT